ACATTAACATGAAGCCCTAATAATAATAATAATAATAAATCACTTCAATCCAGACCTCCGATTTGGTTCTCTTAGATGGCTGAAAAATCTCCCGAGTGCTGTCACTGCCTTCCGACATTTCGTCTCGTGCAAAAAACAACAACAACACTGCATGCTGCTTCTGCGTCAGACTCATGCTGGCTGGACAGGATTTACCGCGAGTTTTCAAAAGCGCAATAATCAAATACGGTTTTGATGTTAATTAAATTTTAAACGATAATACTAACCGTCAGGGCATTTTATCATGATTTATCGTAAAACCGGTAATCGTTACATCCCTAATTTCCAGCGTGCAATTGAGCCTGAATGATGTGAAGGCAGAACTGTTAGAGGTCAGGTTATCCTATTAAAGGGGCATTCACACTGACAGAGATTTACTACTCAGAATTCATGGTTCCTACGGTCATGGAAAACGTGGAATTATGTGGGAATTAGAAAGTCATGGAAATTAATAAAATGATTTTTTTTTAGTGACTGCAGTTTTTGTAGTTATACTCAGCATTAAAAAGTTTATTGGTTAGAAATTGTGCTTTGTTTTAAAAGTGTAGCTGCTATAAAATGTTTTTTTTCTCGGTTTTATTTATTTATTTATTTATTTATTTTCTCCCTTTACATCTGTAAATACATGAAAAACGTCTTTATTTTTATTGGTCAGATACAGTTGGTTACTGAAGTCTCACATGTATGCCACTAATGATCATTGTTATTTAAATATTACTGAGATACTATTATAGTTTTAATTTGTATATTTTCTGTTTTGGTAATTGTTTTGTGTGTTTTTGTTATGGTTTTATAATTATGATTATTATTTATTTATTTTAATGTCTACAGTATAGAATTTTTATGAATTTATTTTATTCTTGATTTTATTTATATTTTTTCGGGCTTTTCAAATGTGGAAGTGTGATAAAGGCCAATAGGCCTACATTGTCACGTCACATACAAAATATGTTATTGTATCCATATTATCATCTTATTATAACAGGAAAACTTATAGTTTGTATTGCATAATATATCATGATTATGAAAAAATGTATAGTTTTATCGACATCTCATTATTACGAGAAAATATATTCTTGAAATGACATAATATCTCATTACAATATAATTGAGTGGAAAAAATAATAATATTTAAAACATTAATATCATCATGGATTTATGGATTTAATTGCACTCATTCCACTTCTGAACCTCATTAAATGTCTGAAAGTACATCAAACAACACTTTTGTGTTCTTCTGTGCCACCTCTACAAATTATTTTTGTTAATACTGATTTCATTTGATTTTTAACTTGTTTCTTATTCTACTCTTATTCTGTTGTTAAGCTTATAAAATATAATTTAAGAATTTGACAAAAGATGACATACTTTTAATAAAGTTAGAGGAGTCAAATATTACCTCGTAATGGGAATGCTACTTTTTGATAACATTTTGGATTATTGATTAGAAGGTGCTCCTAAAATTTTGAACGTGCTCCTAAATTTTTTAAGTTAGGAGCACAAGTGCTCCTAAAAAGAAAAGTAAGCGTCGAGCCCTGTATATGTGGCAGCAATGTGCCACCGTGCATTTCAGATTTTAGTACAATAAGTTAAATGAAAAAGACAAATGTTGCCTTGGCAACTAGTTGAATTTTGTGCTCTTTTTTTCAATAATGTTTATACGAAAAGTCATGAGAAAAACTTACCCTGCTATAGTGATTTAATCACTGTCAGTGTGAACATCAGTTTATATTTATTTATTATTTAAAAATGCACTATACTTTAATTTACAGCCTTTAACAGATAGGAAAGTGTATAGACAGAGGAAAGTGACTGAAACCTGTGTCCCCAAGAGCATCTCAGCTCTAACACGTCGCAAGCTTGTGCACGTCCCGTGTCACAGGTCTGACAGTTTAAAGGCACAATATGTAAGATTTTTTTATTAAAATATCGAAAAACCACTAGAACAGTTTTATATATTTTGCTGACTTGTGTACTTACATTATCCCAAATGTTTCGAAGAATGTTTAAATCCAGAGAAATAAGCAATTTTAACTAGTGGCACGGACCGTGTCCATTGTGTCATTGTGTCACATGCTAATGACATCATAACCCCTCGATTTCCGGTTTTGTTTTGTAGAAAACATGGAAACACCAAAGATGCTTTAATATGCTATGCATTTTATTAGACAGGTGACGACCGCACAGAGTAGCATTATAACAGAACGTTCAAATGTATCTAGTATGATAAAACAGCACTGCTTTACCCCACATACGCACGACCGGAAGCAGCGGAAGCGCTCGACTGTGGCATAATAAAAGCTCCGCTGCTTTCGAGCCGTGTGTCACGCTCGTTCAGCGGCCTCGTTTCACTTCGACGGCTTTCAGCCTCACCCTGCTTCATTCTACTACGTTAATAAATCATTAGCTCATCCATGAACATGATTTCTCCCCGGGTCCCGTCAGATTGCATCGGCTGTGGGGATGAAGACCACAACTCCCATGATTCCACACTCAGTCACAGCTCATCAAACTACGCCTTTGTTTCTTTGTTTGTTTTGAATATGCACCCTCTAGCGGCGAAAAATTACATATTGTGCCTTTAAGGAGGAATTACAAGGTTGCTGAATAAAATGTAAAAGTTTTTTTGTTTGCATCATATTCCTCATTTCACACCACATTTCCCCTTCAAATCAGGACAGTCAGGATAATGAGCAAAGGAGAGACAGGTAAAGAAAAAACTTGCTGAAAGTAAGACAAGATCATTCGTAATGTTTTTCAGGTGGGATCAGGCTGCTGCCTACCTAGTGAACACTCAGTATCAGGTTATTTAAGTACGCAGTCAGCCGCGTTTTTTGGGCATTGTAGGCACAACATGACCCAGACCGGGCTTTTGATGGCCAAAAATGCCATGTAGACAAGCAGCTAACTAGCTAAATATCCTAGTACTTGATGGAGATGTTTAAAACTCATGCAGTTGATTTTCTATCATTTTGTCTTTTATCTTTTTGTTCTTGACTTCTTTGAAGCCTTTGAAGTTTTCCCTCTTCTTTATCTTCACTATTGTTGCATAATGAAAGTTTCTTGAATTTGAAATACTATTCCGAGCATTTTTCAGTGGAAATGACACTTTTCAAGTGACTTTTGGTGTGAAATCTTTCTGTACACAATTAGACATGAGCAGCATGTGTGATGCTAACTGAATGTTATGACATAAGGTCTAATGGTGAGATCTGAATGAATGGAGGTGGTCCACACACTGGTAGTGAACATTCACTAGCATTGAAAGCATTAATGCAAGCGTGTCCCTGCCTTGTTGTCTCTTGTCACACAGACAAACCATATCTCATTCCTCCTGAAGGACCAAACGCAAGAAAACCATGCTGTTGTTATCTGTGAATCTTTTTGAGAAAAATCTACAGTTTTATTAATGATATGGTTTGTTTGTTATGACAAATGCATGCAACATTATAAACATGCGTATCACGTGTTAAGAGAGTCATCATTTTCTTTGGCATTGTAGCTGAGGTGTGTATGTCACACTGCTGATTTTCTGACATTGTCCGTTCTCTTGCAGTCATGGAGATGACCTCATCGTTACACCGTTTGCACAGGTCAGTGACACAGGAAGCAGTTCAGGGTGAATTCTCTCATCCAGGCCCTTCTGCACTGTTAAAGTCAACATGAAACTCTTTTGCAACCAATTTTACTGCCATAATATGACGTATCACACAGTTCAGCAGGATATAAAGTGAGAAACATTGCAGGCAAAGACCTTTATCCATAATGAACTGACTGAAGTTAAACAATTTTGTTTTTGGATAAACGTGCAGAAGTGAATTGTGCACAAAAAGTTTGGCAATGCATGTCATCTTGACTTTACACCATATTTAATCATACAAAGAATGCATTTTTATAGTTTTCAACATCGTATTTCAGCTTCATGTGAGATTAAAACCTCGGAATTTGAAGGAAGTTTCACAAATACTTTTTCGTTTGTCCTTAATATTCTGTAAAGTTTAAATGTCAAATACATGTTACTGACCTCAGGTGTTTTGCTCTTCTCTTGAAGGTGCTGGCTAGTTTGAGGACGGTACGGAATAACTTTGCAGCGTTAACCAACCTCCAGCAAGATCGTGCATCTAACAAGTGAGTGCAGTTACGTCAATGGACCATTGTTGATGTGCAAAATGAGCAGAAGAGGAAAATCACCTGATACTTTGACTGCAAGAATCAAATGTATTAATATCTATAATTTTCACAGGCGATCCCCCATGTGTAATCAGCCTCCTCTCACAAAGGCCTCCTTCACAGGTGAGATGGTTTCCCTTTGGTTTTTATATTTTTTCAGGAATTTAATAGTAATTAACTTAGATTTTAAACCTCTTCACTCTCTTTTGCTCTCCATTTAATCCAATTTTTTCTGGAGATCTCAGTAGCGTTTGTTCTTTCCTGTTGGTTGTGAAGGATTCGGTACTTTACTGCTGTCATAGCAGCAGTAAACCTCTAGGGAGCGACAAAACACCTTTCATTCATGCAGTAACCTCTTTTTTTTTTTCAGCAAGGCTACTCAATTTTGCAACGCTAGCGATTAACTTAATACACACTTCTGCATTACTGTAGAAAAGAGATGCACTACATGGCCAAAAGTTTGTGGACATCCAGTGGAAAGCCTTCCTAGAAGGTTGCAAGCTGTTATTAAAGTCCAGTAGTTTTGAAATTATATGCTTTACATGGTTTCCCATTGGTTTTGATATTATTTCAGTAATTTAATAATAATAAACTTAGATTTTAAACCTCTAAACTGAATTAATATCAGTCTAAACGGTGTATTTAACTCTTGTTGTCTCGTGCTTTACATGTGCTTTTCACTGCAATTTTGATTGCAGTCTTTGGCAGATCTGAGCTCAGTTTGAGATCTGAAACACTAGAGGAGATGCATGAGATTACTGGGGTGTTTTTCTCAGGGGAAACATCTGAGAAGCAGATCAACACCACATTAAATACCAATAATTTTGACGTTAGATGCTTATAAAGCACTAATAGGTCTGGTCTTTGGGTGTATGCATGCTCATGTCCATACATTGCATATGCATGAGGAACACGTCTTCCAAAAGAAGTAAACATAACCTGCTTTGACATTCGTGAATCTTTCACCCCATTCGAATTGTGCAAAGCTGTTATTAATAGATGTGGCGCAGCTGGCAGCCCACCATTCTGACATGATACTTGCAAACACACGCCATCTCACTTTCATGCTCGGCCAGAGACTTGCTTCCAGTTCAGGAAAGCACGTGTTGGCGTCTTGCTGGGACTCGCAAGATGAGTCCGTCAATCAAGATGCTCCCCATCACTTGTCCTTCACGCAAATGTCTGATATGGAAACCATCATAAATGCACACAACACTTCCCCAGTTTAGTGCACGTGCTAACTGTATTCAGGCCATTTGAAAAATCAAAGTTGCAATTTCCTCAGTGGCACCTGCCGATATGGACTGATTCGGTCCATTATCGGCTCCTTCTATATTTAGCAGCTGCTTAAAACACAGAGGTCCCGCCCCTTGCTTTCTAAAGACCTGACAGCGGTTGCCAGGCAACCTGACGGTGGATGGCATAAGCATCTCAAAAAGACGGAGTCTCACGAGAATTACCTGGTTTTCCACAGGGGCACCTCTCCGAACGTGGGGTCTAGGTGATCTCGGGCTGCTTTTCTAAAAATGTTTAGGTCAGCCTGAGGCTTCTGTCTCCCACGGCTGCTTTCTCGCTATTACTGGAGAGGTCTTTTGTATTTCAAGACTGCCGATCCATTGAGGGGTGCTTGAGTGAAATTTGATATGGGAACTATATGGGTCAGTCATTTACTAGAGAAATGCCACCTCTGAGATGTGGTTTTTATTGATTTGAATGAAAACATCAGGTTTGGACATTCTGGAAATAGTCAAATGGGTTTACCAGATGTTTTTTGTATCATATTTTCAGAAAGAAAAAGTCATGTTTCACTACAAAAGCAAACAGTTTAATTGGAGCCTATTTTATGACCATAATTTGCAAGCTTGCTTATTTGTTTGTTTATTTGCCTTCAATTTAAACAATATTTAAATAAATATTAAAATACTACATAATACTATTTAAATATTATAGAATATCAATAAATTGTATCATAATTTTTATTAGATTTAACATTATTGTCATTGTTATTATATATATACACACATATGGGTCGGTAAGATTTTAATTATTAATGCTTTTGAAAGTCAAGTGCTCACTAAGGCTGAATTCTTTGATCAAAAATACAGGCAGTAATATTGTGAAAAATTATAAATATTATTACAATTTAAAATAACTCTTTTCTGTTTAAATATATAGTAAAATGTAATTTATTTCTGTGATCAAAGCTGTATTTTCAGCATGATTCCTCCAGTCTTCAGTGTCACATGATCCTTCAGAAATCATTCCTGGAAATAGTCAAATGGGTTTACCAGATGTTTTTTGTATCATATTTTCAGAAAGAAAAAGTCATGTTTCACTACAAAAGCAAACAGTTTAATTGGAGCCTATTTTATGACCATAATTTGCAAGCTTGCTTATTTGTTTGTTTATTTGCCTTCAATTTAAACAATATTTAAATAAATATTAAAATACTACATAATACTATTTAAATATTATAGAATATCAATAAATTGTATCATAATTTTTATTAGATTTAACATTATTGTCATTGTTATTATATATATACACACATATGGGTCGGTAAGATTTTAATTATTAATGCTTTTGAAAGTCAAGTGCTCACTAAGGCTGAATTCTTTGATCAAAAATACAGGCAGTAATATTGTGAAAAATTATAAATATTATTACAATTTAAAATAACTCTTTTCTGTTTAAATATATAGTAAAATGTAATTTATTTCTGTGATCAAAGCTGTATTTTCAGCATCATTCCTCCAGTCTTCAGTGTCACATGATCCTTCAGAAATCATTCTAATATGCAGATTTACTGCTCAAGAAACATTTCTGATTATTATCATATAATTGAAAACAGTTGTGCTGCTTCATATTTTTGTGGAAACCGTGAGGCATTTTTTTCAGGAATATTTGAAAGAACAGAAATAGATTTGAATGTAAATTTATTTGAAATAGAAATGTTTTGTAACATTATAGAAGTCTTACTGTCACGTTTGATCAATTTAATGCATCTTTGCAGAATAAAATAATTAATGTATACATAGCACCTTAAGGTATGATTCGGATAAAATTCAAACAGTTTTGATTGTTTTAAAATAGGCTTTTATGCTCTAAAATATTTTAATTTTGAGTTGAAAAATGACCCGGTTATTTCTTGACCAAGGGAAGCACCAAAATCGTTTTACTCTCTGAATTGCTTTATTTTAAAACGGCAGCTTTTATTTAGTGTCTAGCCTGCCGTCAGAGAGTGTGTTTGCTCGGTCTCTGGCGTTCCTCTCTTGTGGACTCCACTCCAGAGTTTGGCTGCAGTGTAGCGCCAATATGGCTGCCCCAGGGGGTGCAGTTTCAGGGAGATACACACACACACGAGTCATGTACGTGCAGGATTGTGAGTCAGGGTTGTCCATCACGCATCCTGCTTCGGCACGGCCGACGACGTCCGACGGCTCGATGCGCTATCAAAACACCAAATGCTTGTTGCCCCACTGTGTGAGTATAAACAACTGTGTCCTTTACGCTGGTGTCTGTTTATGCATGCATGTGTGCGTGTCTAGCCCATGCTGGAAGACCTTAAGTCAGACTGAAGCGTTGTTGTCGTTGAAATCGTGGGTCTATTCTTGTGGGAGGGAGGGCAGATTGCTGGAGATCATGTTTAGCATTACTGATGACTGCACAGGCATCTTTTAATGTGGCATGCCGCTGTGCCCAAGACTGCAGTCTCCAGCAAAGCTTCCCTTTAATTCCTTTTTGTGGAGGGGGTTAGGGAAATACAGGATAGAGGTCTTGTTTTGGTTTATGTGTTTGGTGCGGGTCTAAGAGGAGGAGAGGTGCCGTTATCACTGAAGGTCATGAATCATTTTTCACATTGGAACTGGGTGATATAATGTTTGTTGTCATGTAAATGTTGAATGTTTTTTTATTGGATTTTGGTACTTTGAATTATTGTTCCACAAACTGGATATTTACATTTTTAAAGAAAAGATAAGTGGTGTTTGCATGTGCAAAACTCATGTTACGATGGCAGGGAGTTGTGAACGGTTGCCAGGGTGTTGCTGTGTGATTGCTAGACTGTTCTAGGTGGTTTCTGGGGGTTTCTAGGCAGTTGCATGGTGGTTACATGATTTTGGGCCAATAGGTGATTGCTGGGGGGTTGCTAGGTCTGTGGGGTTTTCCACCCATTTTTATCACCCGCCAGGTGCAAATTCTGATCATTTGAAGTTGCATTCTTGTCCATAGCACAGACAAAGTTTAATACTTAGGTTTAGTAATGTGAACAAACCTCTTGTCCAAAGTGTGATATATTGTATTTTATATATATATGCACATTTTTTCTGAAATTAATTGCGATTAATCCCACCTAACATTAAAGTTTTTAAATATACTTTTATTTTGCAATAATTTCACATTCAATCTTCAAATTAATGTAGAAACAACATAAAGACAGTATATTTGTTTCATGGCATCTTTTTTTTATGACTGAAGGGGAGTATCACTGATACAATACTACTGGTGTATCTATGAAATTGTTTTTTCCCCCCGAATATTGTACCATTGACTATAGCCATTCAGCATTGCAGTATAATTTAGAGCTATCAATCTGAACATTTATTAGACTTTAAAATAACAACTTCTAATTTAAGTGAATTTAAAACAATCTTCACATAAACCCATTATAATAAATGTCATATTTACCTGTGCCCTTCAGCAAGTACACAGAAATTGAATAAAGTTATCAAACACTAAATTCTAAATTATATATAGATGAATCCTTAAATCTACAAAAGTTATTGATTTGCTCTTTTTTTCTTTTGTTCTTTGATGAACAGACATCACAGCAGCTGGGTTATTCGGTTATTTTGGCTGCTTTAAGAGCTGCCGCTGCTGAACATGATTCTGGATCTGATCCTATTGTCTCACAACTCTTTACCTTTTCAGACCCACTTCACCCTGCTCCAGGACACTTTTAAAACCACTGTATTTTAGAGACATGTTCTTAAATGTGACTCATAAATGACAAATGCTTACATGCATGCACAGTTTTAAGGCAGCGTTAATCACCTTTTTACCTATGCAGTGGTTGCCTATCATTTCAAATGGCTAGTTTTTTTTAAGGCCAGTTTGCTTGTTAT